ACTCACTTGGAAAGTAATCCATCCCGGCCTGAAGGTTCTAGAAGGTACTTATCCACTTCATTGTTAAATAAGCGGTGGGGTAATTGCAAGCGCTTGGTGGTGTTACAGAGGTTTAAGGCATACAGGGTCAAATCTCCTTCTTTATACTTTGGACTAAAGGAAAACAGGTTAATTCAGTAAAAATATTTACTGAAACTTACGGAAACAAGAACTTGATTATAAATAGAGTAAGGGATACTAAGTATTAGTATCCATAATGATGATAGGACCCGTTTGTATCCTTCCCATTAAAGATAATATTTGACCACTCATGTGGTCTTATTTTGAAAATATCATTATAAAATTGCTCTTCACATTGTCGTTTTCTTTTTTTTTTGGTGGAACCAGGGATTGAACTCAGGCCCTTGTGCTTGCCAGGGAAGTGCTTATACCACTGAGCCATCTCCCTGGCCCCCACACTGCCATTTTCTGAGCCAGAGCTTTGAGATCTTTGCTCCTTTGCCAAGCTAGACTTCTAGAAAGCCTGTATGACCACACACTTTTATTTATAGGAAAGTTAAATGGTAAAATATAAGTTTTGCCAGCTCACATGAATTAAAATTATACATTGTACAAATAAGAGCTATTCCTAACTATATAAAGAAATGTATCAATTGACATTTTTCAAAATGTACCTATTCAAAGCCCTCCCCTACTACTTTATAGCATGGCCCTATTCATAGAGTTGTCAGATGATACGAGAAATTCTATGTGGCTTTTCAGGCTAGAGATAGTATTTTATTTTATTATTATTACTATTTTTATTTTTTTTTTGCAGAACCAGGGATTGAACTCAGACCCTTGCACTTGCCAGGCAAGCGCTTACTCTACTGAGCTAGAGATAGTATTTTAGTATCCTTCTATTAGGAATGATGGATTGAAACTCAAAAGAAGAGCAAAATCCTTGAAATGTGGGGAAAAAAATTGCTTCCTAAAGCCAGAGGATGCAGAAAAAGAGTCTGTGTGGTATCTCCAACTCTACAACTGTGCAACTTCTTTTATTTTTTTTCATAATTTTATTGATAAACAAACAGCAATGAGACAGTTTCAAATCAAATCGCTAGGACATTTTCAATAATTAACACACTGCATACATTCTTCTTAGTGGTTAATTGCTGTACAAGATATGGACTTGAGATTCTATTTACAAACTCCAGTAGAACAAATCATTCTATTCATTAAGAGAATTTAACTATATATCCATCCTAACCACTTTGAATACACAGATACAAAATGGACATTCATC